GGTTCCCTGTGAGAAGGTAGATTGGGAGAGCTCCCATTGTTGTGTGAAGATCTCCCATTGTTCCCAGGGAGTAGAGGTGTTTTAGAAAGTTGGTGTGAAGAGAATTTGGGGAAATTCTCTTTGAATGTGTGGGGCTATGTGACTGTGTGTGCTCGGGAAAGCATTTTGGTATCTTAGCAGCTTCCTGCTGCAGACCCAACCAAATGTGAAAACCACTGAAATCTAACAGTACTGTTTAGAAATATTTAATGCAACCAACGATTTGGAATGTTGACCCACTTTGAGAACCTCTCTTTTACATTACCTTATGACCGTGCTTCAAGCAGGGGTTGGGGGTTGGAGTTGGGGGGGCAATAGATGCTTCTGCACTAACAACTCTCTTGTTTCTCCGATGCTGTGGCCAGCAGGGGCAGTGGCGAGTATTAAAGGTAACGGGTTCATAGGTATTTGGTTTCAAGTCACTTGTGAACACTGTCGTGAAGTTGATGGTTCCACTGTGTCGTCCGTGCATGGCTGTTCATCCCAGAACAGTTCACAGGGTTCTGCCAGAACCTGTGAGAACACAAGTTTTCCACAAAAATATATATTTCTTTTCCTCTTCTCCGTCAGAGGACAACAGTCTGTGTGCTTCACCAATGTTACACATCCTACATGCAACATTGTGAGCTCTGGTACTTCATGTTGTAGGACGGTGCAAGATCTCCAGGACGTGTTGGAGTATTTTGCAGTCCTTTTTGCTAAAATGTCCGTGTTGTTTGTTATTTTTGAGGTTCCACCAGTTCTGTTCTCTGTGCTTCACTGCTGCATGAACACAGCTTTTTATATTTTGTATTTCACACAGTTTTTTTGTGAGTCCTCTTTCCACAGTCGCTCTGCTTTACACTCTGTGTGGCTCAACCTTCGGGTCTTCTGTATACTTCTTTCTGGTTTCATTTGGTTTTGATTTTTTTAAAATTCCTCCATAAATTTTAAATGGACCAATTCTACTGTTCTGACTCGGCTTCTCCTCTGCAGAGGGTCCAGTGTCTGAATACGGCATCACCTTCCAGACTCAGATCGTTGACAGGTTTGGTGTGTCGTTTGGACGAGAGGGTGAGACCATGAGCCTGGGCTGCACTGTCATCATCTACCCCGCCCTGCATCGCTACCAGCCTGAGGTGCAGTGGTACAAAGACGGTCAGTACACGTTCAACCACAGTTTCTAACCCAGAGTCTGTCGTAACGTGTCCTTCTTGCTGTTTTATTGGATCTTTTTTCAGATCAGTTTCTATTAACATTTTTGTCCAAGCTCAGGACTGAAACCAAGCAGCTAGACAAAAAACATTTTGGATTAAAACCTGCATATTTTTCTTCAACTCATACTTGAATCAGATGTTAGATGTTGGAGTATCGTCTCCAGTTTACTCTGATAATTTACTAAACATATGGCTGGATTCATACCTGTTGACTTCTACGATACGATACCTCTTTAGGTTTGGTCTCCATGAGATTTATCATCTGGTCACTGACAAATTAACGAAAGGTCACTGATATACACTGGTATAGTTACTGCATCTTCTTCTGTGTTGTTTCAGATGTTCTGTTGACTTCGTCCAAATGGTACAACATGCACTGGAGCGGAGACAGAGCCACGCTGACGCTTGCACACCTCAACAAAGAGGACGAGGGTCTCTACACCCTGCGGGTCTCCACCAAGTCCGGATACGAAACCTACTCTGCCTATGTCTTTGTCAGAGGTGTGTTGGACAGAAACGCCACTTCCTGTAACTGTGGCTGGATAATGGAGTTATGACAGCTGCACTTTTATTTTGTCATTTATTTGAGTTTTACGTGAAACCTTACGTTCATCAATGACTTTTCCAGGTAAAATGTATTAGAAATATCTGGTTTAATTCCCCCTCCAGTCCTGTAGAATTTAAAAAACTTAAACTTGTGGACCAGCTCAGTAGTAGTTGGATGTAAAATGCTGAACAAAATAATATCAGTAAATTGTGGCACACTGCTGCCACCTAGTGGCCTCAACAGATATTACAGACGAATCATTGTAATGCAAGAAACAGAAGGATGGACATCAGTCTTCTATCCTGCCCTATCTGGCCCACGGGGGTGATTTAGATTTTATTTTATTTTTTTGGGTGGGGTGGCAGTTTGGTATTCGCCATCTGTAGCCTTTTAGCTGTCTTTAATTGTAAGGGGATGATGTAAATTGAGATTTTTTTTAAGGACCTCTTCCCTTGATCCAGAGCTCATCACTGACTCATCAGCTACAGGAGGATTATAACAGACAGTTGACAGCGTTAATACAGACTCTTACCTTTGCTGTGCCCTCACTCTACCTACATGGTTTCCTAAGTGTCACCTCTCTGATCCCCTTTCACTGCGGCCTGAGCTCCGGCTAATTCTGTCCCACCACAGACCGGGCTTGGCTGTCGTTGAACTGGCAACGAGCCCCGCGGCTACACGGTTCAACAAAGGGCAAAGCACGACTTCAACGTCTGGGTCTAATCTTTGAAGCTGCAAGATTTAACAACTTAATTTATATATATAAAAAAAATCTACCTTTTGTGTTTGTGTTAGACACTGATGCCGAGATCGAAGGAGCCCCAGGCGCTCCTCTGGACGTCCGCTGTCTGGACGCCAACAAGGACTACATCATCGTCACGTGGAAGCAGCCTGCTGTGGACCGGGGCAGCTCCATCCTGGGCTACTTTGTGGACAGGTCAGTTCAACGTCTGAAACCACAGGTAATCATGTGAGCAAACCAGGTGGATTTAAACGTCTGACATTTGCGCAGGTGTGAGGTCGGAACCAACCACTGGATCCAGTGCAACGACACACCAGTAAAGTTCGCCCGTTTCCCTGTGACTGGTTTGGTGGAGGGTCGCTCTTATTTCTTCCGTGTGCGCGCCGTCAACAAGTGTGGCATGAGTCACCCGTCCAGAGTCTCGGAGCCAGTGGCCGCCATGGACCCCGCGGACCGGGCCCGCATGAGAGGTACAGTTGAAGTTCCAGGTTTTGGTGGTACTTACCACACGGACCAGATGACATTGGGGGAAAAAAAGTCAGATTTTTGTCAAGTCAAGTGGAACGTTGTTATTTCCAGGCACTTCTGCTCCTTGGACTGGTCAGATCATCGTCACTGAGGAGGAACCAGCAGGTAGGCAGGCAGTGTTTATTTTTATGACACCAGGTGACATGAAGATCCGGCGTCTTACATGTTCTTCTACCTTTTGGTCATTAGAGGGCATCATTCCTGAAAAACCCCAAGAACTGCAGGTGACAGAGGCAACGAAGAACTATCTGGTACTGAGCTGGAAGCCACCGGGAGAGAAAGGACTGGAGGGCGTCATGTACTACGTGGAAAAGGTAAATATGAGTTGTCTTCTGTTAATACAGTGGTGTCATCTACGTACAAGAACATCCTTCAGTTCCTTCTTCAGTTGATGTTCTCATTAAAGAGGCGTCTTTGGGTCTGAAGTTCTCATTCCAGTGACTCAGTTCCAGATCTGAGACAGTGCGAGGGACATCAGTTTGACCGTCGTTGTCTTTGTCTTCCAGTGTGTCTCAGGCACCGACAGCTGGCAGAGGGTCAACACAGAGATCCCAGTCAAGTCTCCTCGCTTTGCGTTGTTCGATCTCGCCGAAGGGAAGTCTTACAGATTCCGTGTCCGGTGCTGCAACTCCGCCGGTGTCGGTGAACCATCTGACCCAACCGAGGCCACCACCGTGGGCGACAAGCTTGGTGAGGAAGGTTTAGGAGGAAAAGTAGAAGAAACAACTCATTTCTTTATACTTCATCATTCCTTCATTGTCTCTGTCTCTTGTCTCTTCTGCCCTGTAGATATCCCATCTGCCCCAAGCAAAGTTGTTCCCACCAGAAACACAGACACATCAGTTGTCGTGTCT